AAAATTTGGACCAACCTATAGAATAGTTTTATATTTAGGCAGATATTCTTATTAGAGGCCTCTATTTTCTTGAGAAAATGTCACGCAAAACTCATCCTTATTAACACAGGCAATTTCTCATTTATTGATAATATATACATGAGACATTTATTTGGGAGAGAAATCTCAAACTCATTGACTCACATACTTATTTTAGACCTTATGTGGAAAAAAAAAATGTATAAAGGATTGTCTCGAGTACAAACGTGTAGATATTATATCTTTCCCTTGGAATGAATTAAACCTTCAGAGCACATTCTACTTGGATGGCATTGTGTTGGCTCCAATCCCATGCCACCTACCCGTGTCCCAAGTAGCATTGCTTTTACTGAATAGCAATTTGGTGTAGAAGCTATTGGCTCATATTTAAGGATGTTATAAAAGACACCTTCTAAAATCATTGTGTTTACTGTAATGTTATAATTGAGAGATTGTTAATTGTTTTACAGTTTTCCTTTGAGAAGACCATTTGAGGAAATTTGTTTTGTTTTTCAGTATCTCTACTTTCTTTTTTCCTAAGCAATCATTTGCTTTTTAAGAAAGGACCCAGTGAATTTTCATAAGTGATTGTATGCCCTTTATTGTAAACTTAGAGTCAAATTTATGGACCATCTGTAAAAATATATAAATTATTATACATAAATTACACATTAAAAATTGATTATAAACAAGCTATGCAGAAATTTATGGGATCAAGTCCATTTCAGATCACACTTGTGCTATCATCTTGTTTTCTTACCATTATTTTTATTTTGTCTCACTTTTTCTAATTAATTTAAATGTCTATGTAAAGATACTATTTATAATTTCTTACTCTTTTGTGGAACAAGGTGGTAGATAAAAGAAGGGATATGGGAGTTAGAAAGGAAGAAAGAGTCTATTCAAGTTACAATCAAATAATGAACTGCATTAATAGAAAATATTTATTTTGGCACAACGTTGACTAGCAAATAGGCTTTTCAAGAAAAATTTTCTATGGCTGAATTGAACCTAAAGATAGATTCCTTTTTATCCCTTGAATTTATAAAACTTCTGATGTGGAACCAGAGTTTCAGAGCCTTTCCCACCTTCTGTAGGAGTCTGGGTAGTCATGACTAACACTCATAAACTTTCCCATGATAATGAACATGTGATTTGACCCCTTGTTTTTCTGTAATGTTTCAAGTCACCACAAGACCAGAGGACAAGCTATGTCTTCCAGAGTAAAGGCTGTATTTACATAAACTCAGAGGACCCTGCAGACTTCAGTATCAACCAGGAAAATAGATACACTCACAGGGATTCTCAGTAGTCAGTAACAGAGGTCAGCAAACCACAGCCTGTGTATCAAATTTAGTCTGCTCCATTTATGTACTGCCTGCAAGTGAAGAATAGTTTTTTAATTGTTAAATGGGGAAAAATCAAAATAATTTTATTTCTTTGACTTGCAAAAATCTCTCTCTCTCTCTCTATATATATATATACACACACACATATATATATATAAAATTCAAATTTCAGTGTACATACATAAAGTTTTATTGCAACCCAGCCATGCTCATTCATTTACAAATT